ATAGATGGAAAGACTGTCTGTAACCAACGAGAACATCAAAATAGAACTTTCAAGCCTCCCATTGTCATGGTAGGGGACATTATAATTGGATCCCTTAGGGGAAAAGTAAGTGCGAATGAGGCTGGAAGCGAAATTGTATGCTTGGATGGAGCAGATATCATCAAAATAAAGGAAGAAGCAGGGAAAAAATCTGAGAGTGCAGCTGGTGGCCTGCTGGTGTTGCAGGGTGGTGGCAATGGTCTCAGAGAATTGGGAGTGGATGAGACTGTTGAAAAGATCATAAGCCCAACCAGGGAGGCACATAATAAAAACCTAGCTGTAGCTTTGGTGGGCATTATGAGAAGACCAATGGAAAATGAAATGTATGAACGAATGCGAAAAGAGGTAAATGAGAAGGTATTCCAGAGGCTTATGAAAATGAAAATCGAATATATGAAAGAACGGGAGAAAAGAGTAAGCTATATTGACCCCGACTGCATGAAAGAGCATATGTATAGAATAGATGGAGTACACCTGAATAATGAAGGAGCAGAAGTCTTTGGACGAAAGGTGAGGCACTAGGTGCAGGCAAGTTGTGTGGGCACTGGGCAGCAGAGAGTGACACAATGTAGGAGTGAATGTGATTAGGCCTAATCGAATAAATGTCATGCGAGTGGGTCAAATGAATGTGAGAGGGCTAGGATTAGGAAGGTATGAAGATATGTGTAAGGAGCTTGAAGAACAGTGTATGGATGTGGTGGCTGTCACAGAAACACACCTGCGAGGCGATGGATACCTGAGAAGTGGAAAGTATGAGTTAGTGTACAAGGGAAGAAGTAGACAACAAACCAAAGGTGGGGGAGTTGGTATAATTGTCCGCAGTGAGGAGGGTTTTGAGATTGAAGAAATAAATGTCGGCAAGAGTGAAATGAGCGAGGATGTATTCGCTGTGAAAATTGAGTATGAAACAACTATGAATGAAAAGATGCAAATGGTGATGATTGTCTGTTATATGACTGTGGAGGGAGCACGGTCTGAACGGGAGAACAGAGAAAAGTATGCCTGAATAAAGAAAGTACTTGATGAACATACCCATGAGATGATAGTAATTATGGGGGCATGAATGGACATGTGGGTGCACTAGGAGAGCCTGTGAACAAAATGGGGAGCTCCTGAATGAATTTGTGTTTGAAAATGAACTTGAAAACCTGAATGTGACAATGGCTGAGGGAAAAGTGACCTGTATCAATAAAGAATATTGCTCAGCAATTGACTATATACGAGTGAATGAGAATGCAAGAAGAACAGTGATGAGCATGTGGGTGGACGAAGCTGGCGTGTTTGACATGAGAAGTGATAATAATATGCTTGTTGCTGAACTGAAAATGCATGATACACATGTGAGAGAACCTGACAAAAGATGTAAATGGAGAGTAAAAGGTGTAAACTGGGAAAACTTCAGTGCGAAACTTACCGACACAGAATGGGAAGTGATGAATGATGATAATGGTATGAACGAACAACTTAAGAAATGCATTAATGAGGCTGCAAGAAGCACATGCACAAGGACCAATAAAAATGCAGGCAAAAACCGAAGAAAGAATGAAAACTGGTGGGGAAATGATGTGAGAGTGGCAAGAAATGAACGAAAAAGATGTAATCGAATCTGTAGACAACTGCGGAAAAAGAGGCATGAGAGTGAAGAATGCGAGCTGGAATATCAGGAAGCATGGATGAAGTATGAAGAACAACAGAGAAGAACAAAAGTGATCATTAGAAAACATATTGTGGAGTATGAGCGAAAAAGGATGAATGAATTCATCATAAATGGGCAAAGAGGTGGACGTGAATGGTATGCTTTCCTAAGAGGTGACAATAGGGCTAGAGATCTGAGAGTGGATGGGCTGAACATAGAAGGAGAGTATGTGACTGAGAGAACAAGAATTGCTGAAGCTGTGAAAGAATTTTGGGAAGACATAGGTGGGGTGAATGAGGAATTTATACCAGGTGAAAATGTCATATCACTAGAACATAAGGACCTGAGTGGTATAGATGGGGAAATTACATATGCGGAAGTGAAACTGGTGGTAGAGCGTCTGAAGAATAACAAGGCAGCCGGAATGGATGAGATACCGTATAAGATGTATAAGTATGGAGGTGGGATTGCAATTGGCAGGCTGACTGACCTATTCAATATTGTCTGGACGAATGAATGTGTACTTGATGCATGGAATGAAAGCTGGGTGACCTTGTTACACAAGGGAGGCCATAAGAGCAAGAAGGAGCTGAAAAAAAACAGACCAATTGCTCTTGCTGACACCTGTAGCAAGATTTTCTGTGCAGTTCTGAATGAGCGAATGCAAACGTGTATGGAAAGAGTGCTTGGCGAGGAGCAGAACGGCTTCAGGTATGAAAGGAGAGCAGAAGACAACATATTTGTTGTGAATTAACTGATTGAAAGAATGAGGAGAGATGGAAGGAGAGTCTATCTGGCGTTTTTAGATATAGAAAAGGCATATCATAGAGTTGACAGAAAACTATTGTGCCAGTTACTGGAAAAAATTGGTATGAGTGAAAAGTACGTGAGGATAATTAAAAGTATGTATGTAAACACTCGTGCTAAATACAGGCTTGGGGATGTGGAGACTGACTGGGTAAAGTGCGTGAGGGGTGTTCGACAAGGATGTTTCCTGTCGCCTCTTCTCTTCAGCCTATACACTGAAGAGATGGCTGCTAGACTGAGAAGAATGGATGTGGGAATGTGTGTTGGAGATGAAAGACTAAAAATGCTATTGTATGCTGATGATGCAGTAATAATGAGTGAAGATGGGGTTGAACTGCAGAGTATGCTTAACTGTATAACTGAATATGGCAAGGATTTCAATGTGCGCTTTAGCCCAGAGAAGAGTCAAGTGCTAGTTGTGAATGGAGCAGGTGATGATGTGGACAGAGTGTGGCAGCTGGGAGGAAATGTGATTGGGAGGACAAATGAGTACAGATACTCGGGAATGAGTGTTGACCAAAGAGGATGTGAGAGAACTAAAGCGCTGAGCCTTAGTAAAGCAAATCAGTGGTTATGAATTCTGGGCAGTGCAGCAAAAGTGAGAGCAAGTAAGTATGACGTTCTAAGAGAAGTATGGAAAAGTGTAGCGGTACCTGGGATCATGTATGGAATGGACGTTATTGCATGGAATGATGGGGAACTGGATAAATTGGAGGCTGTACAGAATAGGATAGCTAGACTGGCCCTTGGAGCCCCCAGATATACTGCAGTGGAGGCTCTGAGAGGAGATATGGGATGGAGTACTTTTAGAGAGAGAAGAATGAAAGCAACATTGAGATATAAAGTACGGCTGGAAAGAATGGATGATGCACGCTGGGCACGTAAGGTGTACCTGTGGAATTTGAGAGTGAGCAAATGGGAGCGTAAGTGTCATGCAATAGTACGAAAGTGTGGACTACATGAAACACGGGCTTGCCCTGGAAATAATAGACCAAGAGAGGAATGGATGATAACAGTACTGGGTGCAACAGGGATTGAATGGGACGCCAAAGAATGGAAGAAGGAAATAGAAAAGAGAGTGAAACTGTGGGGTCTGAGAGTGTGGAAGCAGGGAATGGAAAGAAAGGACAGCCTGAAGTTGTACAGGATAAAAGAGGTGCCAAAGTATGAGTACATATATGATGGAAGTGGAGATCTAATGTTCTGTGTGAGAGCAAATGCTTTGAGTGTGAATGCACGGACATACAAGTGGAATGAGAGAAGAGAGGATATTTGTTTTATGTGTGACAGAGGTGAGGGGGAAACTGTGGAGCATCTGATGATGGAGTGTGACGCATATGAGCGGGAGAGACTGGAAATGATGAGAGTGATACTGGATGAGAGAGGTGAGGGTGACAGAGTGGTATATGAGAGAAGAGGAGACGAATGGATGGCAATGATAGTGGGCTTGTCAACTGGGGTGACAGCCGCTATGACTGAGAGTGGAAAGCGTTTTCTGGAGAGTGCATGGAGAGTGAGGGAGAGGAGGAGGCTGGCAAGAGTGGAAGCCGGGGGACAGTAGAGAGCAGCAGTATAATAAAGATAGAATAAATAACCATAATAATTCAATATAACGCAGATAGTCACTTGGAGCTTTTGAGGCCACATAACTAACGCAAATGTAAAGGTACATAGGGGCAAAAACTGAGATATAGCAATAATAAACCATATGAATTTCCTCTTGATTCCCTTTCACCTAGCTCTCATCTTACCCCTAACACGGACTTTCACACCCTCCTTGCTGTTTATAGTTTCTCTTTCTTCCTCCTTTCTACTAACAAATGAAAATGTGATGCGTGGCTGATGGCCGTTACAAAGGCCTGACTCTGTCAGGTGATCTTCTATCACTCTCTAGGTTATCATACGTCACCATCTTATAGCCTGTTCTGTACCCACATGGTAGAGTCACACTCAGTGACGTCATCCCTGTTAAGGCCTATATATATCTCGATCTGTGCACCGCTCGTCAGTCGTAGCGGTACTGCCTAGCCGTTATCTTGCTAGCCGCTCCTCCGGCACATACTTGTGCTTTACCTGTCAATCCCCGTCCTTCTGTACTCACCGAGCCAGTTTATTATTATAATAGAACTAGTGTTAACCGTGCGTTTCACTGTCCTGCCTTAGTCGTACTTGGAACAATAAGTACCCCGACTCTCAGTACAAATCCATCAGGTGGTCGTAGAAACAGACCCCTGACAACTCTGAAATGTCGTTCTTCCCTTCAGAGTCACCACGCCCCAAATCCATGAGCGTTATCATTTCTTCTCGTATATTATGAAAAATAATTTGTTTCGTATAGCGTTGGAACCGTTTTTAAACGTAGTTTAACCTGGTAATTCTAATCCAGTATTTGTTATGCAAGAAAATTTATTCAGAAAAAACCGGGTGGTCGTATAGCTATTTACGCCACTGTAACTACCTGTGGACAAATTTGTTAATCTCCGTTTATAATTGTCAATAAAACATCGCTTCTGCACCAATAATATTTATTTAAGTGGGCGGGTTCTCATCTGCCTACAGTTCCTGATTAGAAACTGTAATGGCTTGGCATGCAGGGTTCCATTGGGTGCAGTTCGTGATGAACCGCTGCAGAGAACCGCTCTTCAACGACAGCAGTGAACCGCTTAAGGACAGTTGATCCCGGTACATATCTGTAAACGAACCAAAAATTTAATAACTCATGCAGACTATGACCAGCTTGAGACATCAAAACTGTACAACGAATGAGTACATTTGTAATCAGGTTCTATTTCATTGGAAGACCATCGAACACAGGTATTCGTGATGGAAAAAATACGGAAACAACTAAGGTGTTCACAGGAATCGCCAAATCATAAGGACAACTTGGTTACTTCTTGGGTATGAGAGTTTTGAACGTGTTGTCGGAAGGACTGGACGAGAACATGTGTTGTCAGGAGGACTGGACATTAACATGTGTTGTCAGGAGGACTGGACGAGAACATGTGTTGTCAGGAGGACTGGACGTTAACATGTGTTGTCAGGAGGACTGGACGAGGACATGTGTTGTCAGGAGGACTGGACGAGAACATGTGTTGTCAGGAGGACTGGACATTAACATGTGTTGTCAGGAGGACTGGACGAGAACATGTGTTGTCAGGAGGACTGGACGTTAACATGTGTGTTGTCAGGAGGACTGGACGTTAGCATGTGTTGTCAGGAGGACTGGACGTTAAAATGTAGTCGGGAGGGCTATTTACTAACCTATATTGTCAGAAAGAAGATATGGGAAAGAAGCTAGAATGATAACACGGTGAAAATAGGCACATCACTATATCTGCTGTCCGTCCATTTAACCACCAACAAAACCAAATGAATGCGCTCTACAAAGAAAGCTACCCTTGATCAATCTGTCCCAGATCTACGGTAGATCTGGGACAGATTGATCAAGGATCATCTACCTATATGTCTAACTACATTATATATTTATTTCTCCCTATTCCTTGCTGTTACTTGAATTTTGAGCAAGGAAACTGAGATGTTCTGTGGTTTCGTTGAACTTACGGGGATTAGTACCAGAGTGATGTTCAAGCTAGCATCATTCACATAGACATCTGTTGATAGCGAAGATGCCAGGTTGGTGAGTGTGATGCGGCCAGCAGATATAGGCGCCGTGAAAGTGTTGCCGACACCGAACGATTTCTGGATTGCCAGTGTGGTACCGGGGAGGACGCCACAGACGTCGGAAGCTGTCAGGTCAGTAGGCCAGTGGAAGACGACATCAGTCCCATTCACTTCGTAGGAGTACAGGCTTTGATTTTTGAGTCCGAAGAGAGGTACTGTGAAAGATTGATATCCTTTATGAGAAGGACGTAGAACGAGTCTGTTGGAGGAATAATGTGAATTATTGTATAACCAAGCGGAATTGCTATAACTAAGTTGCAAGTTCGATACTCAGGCTACTAGCACCACTTTTTTGAATAATTATGTACGAATACCAGCCAAATATTCTACGCAATGTCACCGCCAATGTGGTATGTGTTTGCATATACTGTCTGCCCAACTCTATAACTAACATAATTCAAACCTAATATTGTACCTGAAATGCTTGGTATTATGCTAGTCTACGAATGTGAAGTATAGTAATACCCAGAGTTCAATTTTTCAGCCCTCCAATTCTAGTTGGATTATAATAACAGAATTCTAATTAATGATGAATGCTGTCTAGTTGGACCTATGATAATGCTCTAATTAAGGGTTCTTACACTTGAACTGATGGTCATCCGTGATATTTCTGCCGTCCGTCGTCTGGGTGTACGTGATGTTGAGGTAGGAAGTCAGACAAATATCAGTCACATTCCCTGTTCCGATCACGATGGTGCCTTTTGGTTTAGATATGGGGAAGTCAAGCTTCGGAGAAGGGCGCGATATGTCCGTGTATTTGATGCCAAACTCAATGGTGAACTTGGTGAAGCTACCGCAGCCAGGGGAAGCCTGTAGGGTCAACAGTTGCTGAGTTAGAGAAGGGGATGGTAAAAAGTTGGTGTGGACAGTGGGTGTGCACTGTTGGCTAGTTCAACAATTTTACTTTCACTAAATGTTCAAATTTGGTTCAAATTATCAGTCAGTTAAATTAATAATATCCAAACTCAGTCCAACGCTGGTGTTGATGTTCCATCAGCCACTATTCGGCATTCATGCACAGTTTAAACTGCACAACTGAAACTTGATCGCTAATGGATATCAAATTGGTCGAGTTAAAAGTGATTGTACACAGAGACATTAGTGGCGGCCAGTACCACACAAAGAGAGTAGTGGCGGCCAGTACAACTCAAATACTAACCGCCACTATTTACCGTGCTGTTGGCCTCGTATATAGACGAGGTCGTAGTTAGCATTTGAAAGTTGTACTGGCCGCCACTACTGTCCACGTGTTGTACTGGCCGCCACTACTGTCCCCGTGCTGTACTGGCTGCCACTACTGTCCCCGTGTTGTCCTGGCCGCCACTACTGTCCCCGTGTAGTACTGGCTGCCACTACTGTCCCCGTGTTGTACTGGCCGCCACTACTGTCCCCGTGTTGTACTGGCTGCCACTATTGTCCCCGCGTTGTATTGGCCGACACTACTGTCCCCGTGTTGTACTGGCCGCCACTGCTGTCCCCGTATTGTAGTTTGGATGAAATAGTTATTCTGCAAGACTGCCTTTTCTATATATATAAATAAAATATTCACATAAAGCAAAGTAATTGAAAGAATAGGTAAATAGATATATATTTACGGCCTTACGTCGTACGATATGATGATCCTTTTGTTCGCGAATAAGTTGGCTGCCATTGTGAATCCCGGCACCACATTGAACGGCCAGCTGTGCTGGGGTTCTGCTCAGTAGAAGAGAACTTAGTGGTAATATTGGCCTTGAGTGGGTCATCCTGACCCAGGGTATCAGTGCAACGGACAGAAAGTGCGTCAGTATTAGGACATTATTAAGTCTTGTTATTATTAAGTATCAAAACACAATAGTATTCTTATACATGACACATTCATATTTCTGAGCTGGAGCCCCTGGGTACATATGATTTGAATACTAATTCAATCAAATCAGGTGGAAACATTATGGAAAAATCTTTTGCTTTACGTAGTGGGTGTTTAATTTTAATTTAACAAAAGTTCAATTTTTATGTTCTCATGTTGAACTAAATATACTCGTGTTATTCCAATATGAATTTTCTCCAAAACTACATAGCCCAAAACATAGCTACAAAGCTCATAACAAAGCTACATAAACCGAACCTAAAATACTTAGTCCAAAACAAAGCTACATTGTCCGTACCTAAACTACGTAGTCCAAAACAAAGCTACATAGTCTGAAACTAAACTACAAAATCCAAACCAAAGCTACAAAATCATAAGCAAAGCTACATAGTCCGAACCTAAACTACATAGTCCAAAACAAACCTACATAGTCCGAATAAGAGCAACATAGTCCAAACAAAACTACCTAGTCCGAAACAGAGCAACATAGTCCGATCCTAAACTAAATAGTCCAAACAAAGCTATAGAGTCCGAACCTAAATTACGTGGTCCGAATCAGAGCAAAATTGTCTGAACCAAAGCTACATAGTATCCAATTCCCAGTATTTGACGGCAGCAGATTGAGTAGATCTACCATCCTTTGTGGTACCTGGCATGGGAGTCGCCACAGTCATGAATGTGTTGTAACCGAATTTCTCTCCGGTGGGGAGACCAAAGGCGACGGTGACGTATTCCATGTTGCACCCTGGGACGTTAATCTCTATCGTCGTCTGGGACGAAGTGGTTTCGACGTACTTATTCTGGCCGGAGAAGCTGACTATGAAGCCGTTGTAGTTGCAGCCACCATCGTTTGCAGTCCACGTCAAGTCGAAGTTATTATACGTACCCTCCTTCAGGTTCGCATAAAACGACAACACTTTGAAATTTCCTGTTGAATAGTAAGAAAGAAAGCGTTTACTTATAATAGTCCTATCATACCTTCCTTTAATTGACAAAAAAGCAATTAGGATTTTTACATTGGTATCCAGTCTCCGAAATTAAGATTAAGTTTTCGGTTGCAGCAACGAACCACACCCACCGAAACTGGACTGGACCAGAAATGAGCAAGGTGAGTTGCGAGAGTTTGCAAGAAGTCTTGTTTGCAATATATTATTGCAAACACAGTGTAAAGTTCAGCCCTAATGTGAGGTCGGGATCGAAAACAACTACTTGGCACCGGATGGCACAGAAATTTAGAAGTAATTTGTTCACGACCGCGCAGTGATGAAGAGTTTGGTGACGTGTAGGAGCAAAATCTGAAAGATGCAAGTGAAAAATAATGTTGATCTCGAGGACGTTCAGAACAAGAGAAACGGAACTGATTATTCTTCAAAGCCCATGATGATGATCATATTCTTCAAAGCCCATGTGACCCATCTCTTCGAGTACTGCTGTCAGCTGCGGACCCCATTCACGGTTTGCGCAGTGCGGCCATTGGAAGCGGTCACGGGAATCTTCATGTGAAGGAACGAAATCTTCGGGATGCCAAAATATCCTAATGAGAGAAGATACTTTATTCAACATTCCTTCCGACAAAAATCTTGGTTTCTGAGCTCAGTTTGCGGAAGAAATCCATTTCCATAGCGGGACCAAGGCTGTTTCATGTCTTGCCTATGGAGATATCAAGAGGAATCGTTCTCCCTGGAGGAGGAGGAATCGTTCAAGAGGAATCGTTCAAGAGGAATCAAGAGGAATCGTTCTCCCTGATCTGACTTGTTACTAGGCACAATCAATGATCACACGGGGTTGGCCGGAGAAAAAGACAACGTACCAGCGAGCCCTGCGACTGCGATATTCAGAACCCCTTCCACACAGGAACATGAATTTATCCCACCCACCGTAACTGGCCTGGATCAGAGGTGGGATGGACTAATCCATCGTACCCACAAAAATTGAGCTCGACCAGAGGTGGGTTGGACTAATCCATAATACCCACCGAAAGTGGGCTTGAACAGAGGTGGAATTCCCTATTCCATCGCACCCACCGAAATTTGGCTTGACCAGAGGAGGGTTGGCCTGGTAGATGGCTAAGTAGTTTGCCGCTGCCGCCTTCTGGTCGGCACATGCATGACTCGGTACTGTTGCGTTGTAGGTGAGGCAGGTGGTACCATTGAAGTACAGGGTGGAGTGTCCTGCAAACGTTGAGGCGATTAGTAAGGATGTTAATACATAGAAGCTTTGGTCAATTATTATTGCATTCCATTATTACTTGGAGAAAGGCAGCTTCGGCGGCGGTAAACAACGGCCGAAGCACACTCACCGGCCACGGCGGCAGCGTTGACGCAGTCCCTGAAGGTGGCCGCGCTCGACTGTGAGCTTCCGAAGCATTTCAACATCGCCGGATAAGTGTATGTGCGCTTATATACTATCCCCTTCTTAGACATGATGGACTGGAACACGACCGACCTTTTGGTTTTCTTGCAAGATGCCATCGGGCCATAGGAGGTCACAAGCACCTGTAATCATTAAAATGATGAACATGTACCAGAATATTGATGTTGGTGACAGGACACAGTTGAGACAGTTGATCACAAACAAACTTGTGGTGACACAGCAATGCCTATATTTCATGAATGGGAATTATAGCCTGATGTTCATAGAATCTCAACGCGAAAATATGTTCACAAATTTAATTTTAATTAGACGCGTGTGATGGTTGTTTCCACTCACATCAACAGCAGGGCCTGTAGGCAGGTCCGCCTGTGGGCGGGAAAAAGGTTAAGTCATCCAGCATTAGCTCTCACAGATCAATAAGCAGCTCACAATTTGTCTACTTGACATTTCACAAGCAGTTTGTGGCATGTGGGTTAGTTTTGTACCCTATCTGTATAAAAACGTCTAATGTTAACCATATTCACAGGAGGATCTAAGTGAATTAATACTCTTAATTATATAAAAGTTAATTATAATGACTTGGGCTTCATGGAGCAACGTGGTCAAAATTCCGGCGAGAATCAGGGGAAGGAGTTTGGCCATCTTGACCTTCCCGACCTGGGGAGACACGAGACTATGATTATTATTTAAGATATTAGTAGGATTATAATTAATGATACTTGAAATTATTAGTAGTATTGAGAGAGAGCTTATCAGCACAGTTAGGTAGAATTTTAAAAAGATAGGGTGAACGTTGGATAAAAAATATCTTCAATAAAAGATAGCAGCAAAAGGTAAATAAAAATAACTTGATTGAAAGTTAGGGATAAAATTAGAATAAAAATAATGAATAAATAAAATAATATAAATACAATAATACAAAATGTTGTGTTTTTTATTGTTACAAAACTTACCTTTTATACCGAAGATATGTACGATGTCAGCGTTTTGTAAAAGTTTATTAGAACTCCAGGGAACGCTAAGTTAAGGCACTCAGGGAACGCTAAGTTAAGGCACTCAGGGAACGCTAAGTTAAGGCACTCAGGGAAAGCTAAGCTAACACCAGACAACGTTACACCGCCACGTCCACCGCACAAGTGAAGAGCGGCGCCCCGCGGGGTGGCTATATCCCCTCATCGGTAGGTGCCTTCCAACCCCCCAACAATAGCCCCCCCCCCCGCAGGTGTTGCGGGGAACTGGGTTGTCGACGTGGCTCTTTGATCATTCATTTCATCATTAAGTGTTTTTATCATTTATTTCATCATTAGGTGTATATATCATTCATTTCATCATTAAGTGCATATATCATTTATTTCATCATTAGGTGTATATATCATTCATTTCATCATTAAGTGCATATATCATTTATTTCATCATTAGGTGTATATATCATTTATTTCATCATTGTTATGTTAATTACGGTCAATTGTATGTTAATTATTGTCAATTATTATATATAGTTATTAATTGTTATCAATTATTGTTAATTACTGTGAAAATTTTTAATTTATTGTTAATTATTATCAAATATTGTCACTTATCGGCAAGTGACAAATTATTATATTTTTTATGAACTCGTTTATCAAATGAACCTAACTTGATTAAGAGAAAAGGGTTTAAGTTAAATTAAAAATAATTTGGTTGAGAGATACGGGTTAAAGTTAAATTTAAAATAACTTGATTAAAAGACAAGGGTTAAAGTTGAATGAAATATGAATTGATTGAAAATTAGGCGTTAAAGTTGAATAACAATAACTTCATAAATGCAGGGGTTAAAGTTGAATAAATATAAATTGATTGTAAAATAGGGGTTAAATTTGAATAAAAAATAATTTGATTAAAAAGCAGAAGTTAAAGTTAAGTAAAATGTGAATGGATTTAAGGGGAGCGTCTGGGTGGTGAAAAAACTTTGTTATTTACGGACGGATCACTTTGAAACTTTGTACACCTATGACCTATGTAAAACAGAATTCTAAGACTTTTTTGTTCGTGTCAATTTTCCGAAAAAAATGGAAGAAAACGTGAAATTTTTTGAAAACCTCAAAAAAGGGGGTACCCCTACTATAGAAATCTATCTCCTCCTAGGATTTTGAAGCTACAACATCGAGACGCATATCATTCTATGCGTATGGACCATATCTATCGATTCGTCTTCGCTTTTTTCGAATTTCGCATTTCTGTGGATGGGGGAGCATTTTTCGCAAAATGTTCGAAAAATTTTCGATTTTCCCCATCTCCCCCCCTTTTTCAAAATATTTTCAAAACTATAACGAGATAGAAAAAACGCAAAGACCAATCTCTAGATATTTTAATTGCGAATCGAATGGTATATGTCGGCTTTCCCTTTCTGCCTCGCTCGAGTAAGTGTATCATGCGACAATGGTTGTAGCTCTGTATGTATGCAATATGCGTATTTCATGAGCACCCCGGTTCTGGAAAATATTTCAAAAATTTAAATCAATTATATATTCCACAGAAGTATTTTTCACGCAACCACTCCAGGTTAATCTCTGAGCTTTCGGTTAAAGAGTGTAGTAAAATCGGGGTAAATGGTCGTTAACTCATGATTCGGGAGTAATTGGTTAATTTTGTTGGGCAAGATTCATGATCAGTACCCTGTTAAGCTGTTTATGCAGATTCGGGGGTAATTTTTCGTTATAATATTGAAGGATCAGGGGTAATTAGTTAATTTTGTTGGGTAAGATTTGGGGTAATTGTTCGTAATAATATTGAAGGATCAGGGGTAATTAGTTAACTTTGTTGGGCAAGATTTAAGGTAAATGGTTGTGGTAACCTATGATTTAAGCTGTTTATGGAAAATTGCACCATGCGCTCGTTATGCTCTCTACTCATGCAATTTATTTGCTAGAACTTGAAAGATACTGCATAAGCAGAAGCTCATTGTTTTTGAGCAAATATTTTACAATAATAAAATCATGTTGCTTGGAAGTTGGTCATTTTCGATAAATTTACAATTTAGTGGCTTAATCATGCAGCTTTATTACCTATTAGATAATTATAAAAACTGCTTATAGTTAGATAGAAAAATACTTGTCACATTCGATAATAATCATTATCATCTAATAGGACATATGTCGTGATGTGGAAAGCAAATGAATGCAAAAAAATGCAAATAGAGCGCAAGAACTTACGTTCACTTAATCATAGACAAGAAAATAGAGCGTAAGNTAGCTTTGCTTCAGAATAAGTCTTCATGAGACCAAACCTAATGTGTTCGAGACTGTAAAAAATGTTTATCTAAAAAAGTCGCTTCGCCGAAAAATTTCAGTGAAAATATGCCGATATGTTAATTTCTACGCATTTTCCTGCACTGATTCTTACAGTTACAAGATAAAGCTCGCTGTGATAGAGATTAATGAATATTCATACTGCCAACATTGGCAACTAAAATTTAGCTGTTGTTGTATGTAGAATAGCTTAGTTATAGCTCAAAAACAGGCGTGCTCAGTCATGGCGGATCGGTCTACCCGCAGCTGTTGCTGGAAAGGCATTCTAGCATTTTAATACCGTGTATTCTAATGTTGATGCTTGATGCACCTCTCCTGCAACGGTTAGGTGTGGCGCAAAATAGCTAGTTATAATTATTTATATGTCGCTGCATCGCGTTTTTTCCTATATTATGAAGAATAGGACTACTTATTGTAAGCAATATATCAACAAGTAATGAAATCTTTTCATAATGGTAATTACGGAGGAGATGTCCAAGTGCTCACCCTGCATAAAATGAGACGCGCTTGCTAAGTTTTCTCAGAGCCACAGTAATTATCTGCATTGTCTATGACCTATACCATACTATACTGCAGACGTAGTCTCGGCTCCATCGTCGCACGCATCCCGGGCCAGGGGTGCCCTCCTTTAAGTGTAATATGATTGACATATTCAGGGTGCACCAATGACTTAAGTGCAGCAGATTCATCAGCCTGTTGCTCTTGGCTGCCTATAGGAAAGAAGAAGGCAATCCTGCGCAGAATCCATTCTTCGTGCACGTTAATGAGACATCCGTTGCGTAGGCGTAGAATCTAATTCAGATGATGCGTACATGGGAGGGATGGGAGAATTTTTTACTATATCTTATTATTTACATTAGAGGATCCGCAGACTTACTGTCCGTCTCTACTGATCATAAAGAACGGAGCACTGAGCGAGCGTGTCGGGGTAACGCATTTGAAAATGCTGGCGTTTAATCTGCCTTCTGACACTATTTTGTTTACATTATTTTAATCTTTAAATGATATTTAGATTACCCATACATTTAAAAACAAAGTTTAAGCAACACAAATAATTATCGAGGCAAAAATTCGCATTTGAATTCATNTGAGGTATAGGGTCTGGTGAGGTATAGGGTCTGATGAGGTCTGGGGTCTGATTAGGTCTAGGGTCTGATGAGATCTAGGGTCTGATGAGGTCTAGGATCTGATGAGGTCTAGGGTCTGATGAGGTCTAGGGTCTCATGAGGTCTAGGGTCTGATGAGGTCTATAGGGTCTGATGAGGTTTAGGGTCTGATGAGGTCTAGTGTCTGATGAGGTCTAGGGTCTGATGAGGTCTAGGATCTGATGAGGTCTAGGGTCTGATGAGGTCTAGGGACTGATGAGGTCTAGGGCCTGCTGAGGTCTAGGGGTCTTGTTACGTCACACATTTGGACGGCTGGCGGGTGTGCGACGAACGATGTTCAGTGTCAAATCAAGTGCCTGAAACCTAAGCGTTTTTTTATCCTATTTAGATGAATATATTTCGGTGCGTGTCTACGAGTGCGATATTTTAATATCTCTTACAGCGAGACATTCTTCCATGTTTATCACTGGGCGCTTTAATGTTCATTTGCAAGTGAGTGATTAAGAAAATTGCGAGTCATTAACCACTCAAGCTTGGCTTCAGAATAAGTCCTCATGTAACTAAATCTGATGGGTTCGAAGCTGTAAAGAATATTTATCTAGAAAAGTCGCTTCGCTGAAGACTTTTAGTGAAAAAAAAGGTTTTAATGTTACTTTCTACTAATCTTTCTGCACTGATTCTTTCACATAAATGATGTATGTGCTCATTGTGATGAGGGCCAACAAATCAGCTTACCATCGATGATGGCCGATGTTTGTCGGCTGTGACAGAACAGTTCAGTCATAGCTCCAAGTACCCGCGTGCTCAGTCATAGCGGTACGACAGTACACAGGTCACTGTAAATTTCTTTGAATAAGTTAGTTATTTGCGAATATTTTTGAAACTCCATCCTGTAAATCGTCAATGTGACGTTTGGGAGTGAAATCTTGCAGCTATTAGTACTAATGTCTGCTAATTCATGTCATTATTGTCTTCGCTTTGAATTTAAACGTTTCCAAAGAGGTTGCCCGGAGAATAGCTCCCAACAATAAGTGTAAGTTTTTTAGATCCAATAGCAGAGTTCGCTGTGATGATTAATTTATTTACTCTGAAGTAACGAATGCCATAAATATTTACATGACGCTGCCTTGCAGTGCACGCTGTTATATAACTTGTAATAAAACATATTGTTGAATGCAGCTTTGACATCCTGCCATCCTTATCAAATATCTCTTGAGCTGAGCGTTTCAGCTCTCGGTCTCTCCACCCAGGAAAACCCAGGCACAGTAAATGGAACAGAACGTATATAAGATATCTGAAAAATATTTATTCCTCTCTTCTGGGGGAAAAAATACAACTGACGTCAAAAGTATAAGTAGATTTCATTGAATATATAAAACTTTTGATACATAACTTTTGATATTGTTTCCGGATGATAGGATGACAGGACGACAGACGTCGGATGACAGGACGACAGACGTCCGATGAGAGGACGACGGACGACAGACGTCGCATGACAGGACGACAGACTTCGGATGACAGGACGACAGACGTCGCATGACAGGACGACAGACTTCGGATGACAGGACGACAGACGTCGGATGACAGGACGACAGACTTCGGATGACAGGACGACAGACGTCGGATGACAGGACGACAGACGTCAAGCCATGTGCTGTCAAGTTCAATGCTAGAATGTGAACGGTTAAACTTGAATATGAAGAGTTATAATATAGATGAACATACGTGAACAAGTTGCTGTTTGGCTGTGAGTGGAGAGAGACCATATAAATCGTCACGACCAGATACATGATCAAATCGTATCACTCTGCTTCCATTAAATTTGTATCGTCAATTGTAATATCTATTTATATGCAAATTAAATTATTAAGGCTCAAGTTTCAAGGTTTAATTATAGTTAAATATATTCACTTAAACTAAGATTTCGAAATCTAAGGAAGCGAGCGAAACCGTGACCTGTTAGGCCGACTTCAGCAACACAAATGAAGATGATGGCACAACCGGCAACAGCTTTCTAAATTAAATGAATATTTCGATCACCGGACTTTGAGGTACATTTAATTCTTTTGAAGCGTCAAACGTCCTGAATATACGTGTATGCCATAGAATTCCGTTTTCTACAAAATTTCGTAAAATAGATTCGAGGGGAAACTGTTTCGTTGTATTCGATTATATGTGATATCTACGGACTCCTCAATCTATCTCGTGGATTTAGGGGCAAAACTGTATTATTATGACCATGTAATATGTAATGCTTTCATGCTTTGAGCAAAACTTTAGGATTTTAAAGTTTTTTTTATGACATTTTGCGGGTTTTAGGCAATCAAAATCACGGTTCAATATCATATTGTTATTTCAATAATTCATATCTTCACTGCGCTCGCTTCGCCTCCGCAGGTAAAACGCATTCCAATATTCGCTTTAAATAAAAATTCACAATAAAAACACGGGGAACATCTGCAACATCTGGCATGTGATATTGACTCATAAATGTTCAAATGTCTTGATGAATTCTAGAAAAATAATTATCCCTTTATTATGGCAACGATGGCGATACATTATACAATCTATGAATAAAGCGATCAAGAATACTTAACTTGTCAAGCCGGAGATTAATATTATTATTATAAATTGATTAATAACACTTAAATAATTCATTAATGTATCATGCTACTAGGAATGAATAATCCAGAAAATAATCCATAAAATGTACCATTGTTAATTATACTATTGGTATGCGGTAATGTGGGCAGCACAGAGGACTTATCAATCTTGAATTACCTAAAAATGTGACATTAATTTTTCCTCAGTTATTAAAATAAGTTATTTTCTCCATATTGAATGACCGAAATTGAATTTTGAACTCCTTGCATTGTTTAACGTTTGGCGTAAGAAGTAACGTCTACAATTATTCATATGTAAAAATTTATTTGAACAAATCCGTAGATTTTCACCGTCCGTCACCACTGATCACAAATAATAGAGCGCCACGTGTCTGGAGTCTGAATAGAGCGCCACGATAACTCTTGTAAACTGACAGGCGTTATGCATGCCACCTGAAGCTCAATATTTCGTTTAGATTATTTTAAAATTGGACGATTAAGAAATAAGAATTGCTGAAAAATGAAATTCGTTTTCTAGCTCACCATGAGCTGATAATTCTAACACTCTCTACAGAATAAAGAAGTGAATAATTATGCCACTAGCATGCAGCACATATGACTGATGGCTAATTTACATGTAGACGATGGAATAAAATAATAAAGAAAATAAGGAAGTATTGCTTTTCACGCATTTTCCTGCACTGACTCTTACACAGTCATGATGTAGATTGTAGATAATCGCCCGTGATGAATGTTAATAAATCTGCTTACTATCGATGA